GAAAGCACTGTATCCGTCCGCCATCTCGCTCCTTGTGGTGATCACACACATGTCAACGATCCCACGCGTACCTCACCCAATGAAGACAATGGTGTTCATGCACCCCCTCTATCTGACTTGCACACGCCTCCGCTCAATAACATTGGAGATGATATTGATCGTACTTCAGTCTCACCCCCGTGCCCCGGCAATGCACCTGCATCTCCAGATACATATGACCCTAGCATCTCTGATTTAGCCAGGCTCCAGCAGCGTACACGGCCCTACGTTTTAAGAAATCGAGAAGCCTAACCACACTCACTATTACTCATTAGATTTTTACAATCATTCATCCAATACCTGTACCCAATTTATCCCTCTACACACAATCCAACGGCCAGGGTGAATGTCATGAATATTCTTTGTGCTCACATTATCGTGTTGTATTAACCACGCTTTTGCCTTCGTTTTCAGCTTATGTACGTCTATTCTTAGACAAGTAAAGCGCTATTCATTCTACGCTATTCATTCTTGTTCTCGCGCTCAATCAGAACCGAAACTCTATTCGTAACAATTTACTTGTCTAAGAATACAATGGAACCGTTGCTGCGACCCAAGTGTTTCGACGCAGATCCTAATTCTCCAGACGCAACAACGCGTTGGAATCATTGGTTCCGAACCTTCCAAACGTTTCTGGGCACTGTCGAATCGCCCAATCTAAATAAACTCGAAACTCTGATCCATTTTGTGGATGCACCTGTATACGTTTATATCGCTGACTGTCCAGATTACGAATCAGCTATCAGTGCACTTGAAAAGTTGTACGTTCGTCCAAAGAATATAATTTATGCTCGCCATCTTCTACAAACTTGCAAACAAGACACCAGTCAAGATGTTGATCAGTTTGTTCAGAGGCTTAAATCCTTGGCCAAAAATTGTGATTTCAAGGCGGTGTCCGCCATTGACCATCAAAACGAAAGTGTACGCGATGCTCTAATCAACGGACTTCAGTCTACTACCATCAGAGAACGACTTCTAGCTCAAAACGAACTCACTCTCGATGAAGCTCATGAATTGGCCAGGTCATTAGAATTGGCCCACAAACAAGCTCAGTCATACTCACATAACCAGGCGATATCATTTTCTGCGGCTGCAGCACCTTTACAGACATCTACAGTTATCCCTTCACACTCAAACTCCCCTGATTCTACACCCTATCTCTCGTCAATCAGTTCTCAGATATGTTACTTTTGTGGTCGTTCCAGACATCCACGGTCAAAGTGCCCCGCAAGAGAAGCAGTTTGTAAATCATGTGGCAAAACAGGCCATTTTCAGCGTGTTTGTCGATCCAAATCTGTAAAGTGTCACTCAAATTGCACAACGGATTCGGCCTTATCTTCCCTGTTGACTGCTGCGGCCCCGAACTGCTTGTCTCGCACGGTGACCAGCATAAAGGTGAACGGGATATCGCTTCAGGCCCTCATAGACACAGGAAGTTCGAGCAGTTACATATCTCCTTTGGTGGTTGGTAAACATGGCTGGAAGGTATATGCTAACAATTCTGTGATTACCATGGCATCTACCTCTCTGACGTGTTCAACTAGAGGCTACTGCTACGCATCCATCGATTACAGGGGCACCGTTTACAAAAAGATCAAACTATTGGTATTACCCAATCTATGTGCTGACCTGCTGCTAGGCCATGACTTCCTTGGTCTACATAACAAAGTTGAAATCACATTCGGTGGGGACCGAGGTCCATTCACCCTCTGCGGTCTACCTGCTGCTGCGGTCGAGTCACCTCCTCTTTTTGCTAACCTCTCACCCGACTGCAAGCCTGTTGCTACAAAATCGCGACGTTATAATCCGGACGATGAACAATTTATCCGCTGTGAAGTTAATCGACTATTGGATGAAGGTATAATCGAACCTTCGAGTTCTCCATGGAGGGCTCAAGTACTGGTCACGAAAAATTCAAACCACAAAAGACGCATGGTAGTGGACTACAGTCAAACCATTAATCGGTTCACATACCTAGACGCGTATCCGTTACCGCGACTGGATAAAATGATCGAAGAAATTTCCCGTCATACTGTCTTTAGCACCTTAGACCTATTGAGTGCTTACCATCAAGTTCCAATCAGTGAGCAAGATAAACCGTATACGGCTTTTGAAGCATGCGGAGAGCTGTTTCAGTTCCGTCGTATTCCTTTCGGTGTAACCAACGGAGTAGCATGTTTTCAACGTACTATTGACCAAATAATCAAGTCTGAGAACCTAAGTAGCACCTACGCTTACATCGACAACGTCACTATTTGTGGGACTACCCAAAGTGAGCATGACCAGAACCTCAAATCTTTCTTTGAAGTAATAAGAAAATATGGAATTACCCTTAACTGTAAGAAAAGCATCATAGCAGCCAAACAAATACGCCTTCTGGGCTACGAAGTCTCTAAAGGAATTATCAAACCAGATCCTGAACGAATGAAACCTATTCGTGAACTCCCTCATCCACATGACGCTAAATCCCAACAACGTGTTGTTGGTATGTTTGCTTATTATTCGCAATGGATACCATGCTTCTCTGACAAAATCAGTGTGCTTGTCAGAAATAAGACTTTCCCCTTACCGGAGCGTGTGCAACAGTCTTTCAAAAATTTAAAGAAGGAGTTAGAGAACGCCATGGTTGTGACAGTCGACTACAACGCACCATTGGTTGTCGAGACTGACGCCTCAGACATAGCCATTGCTGCATCTCTGACTCAGAACGGCCAACCGGTGGCCTTCTTTTCTAGAACACTGACACCGAGCGAAAAGAATCACTCTGCTATTGAGAAGGAGGCATACGCCATCGTTGAATCTATCCGTAAATGGAAGCATTATCTCTTCGGGAAGCACTTCAAGCTTATCACTGACCAGCGGTCAGTTTCCTTTATGTATGGTTCGTCGCAGAAAAGTAAGATAAAAAATGATAAAATTCAGCGATGGAAAATGGAACTTTCCGCTTTTAGCTACGATGTGAGCTACAGACCTGGAAAAGACAATCTGGTTGCTGACACCTTATCGCGTAACCTATGCGCCAATGTGATCGGCAATGATAAATTAAAAGAAATTCACGATTCCTTGTGCCATCCTGGAATCACTCGAATGCACCACTTTGTTCTTTCCAAAAACCTGCCGTTCTCTCTCCAAGATGTCAAGGACATCACCACAAAGTGTACGGTTTGCGCCGCCATCAAACCGCAGTTTTACAAAGCACCCCCTCTATCTGACTTGCACACGCCTCCGCTCAATAACATTGGAGATGATATTGATCGTACTTCAGTCACACCCCCGTGCCCCGGCAATGCACCTGCATCTCCAGATACATATGATCCTAGCATCTCTGATTTAGCCAGGCTCCAGCAGCGTACACGGCCCTACGTTTTAAGAAATCGAGAAGCCTAACCACACTCACTATTACTCATTAGATTTTTACAATCATTCATCCAATACCTGTACCCAATTTATCCCTCTACACACAATCCAACGGCCAGGGTGAATGTCATGAATATTCTTTGTGCTCACATTATCGTGTTGTATTAACCACGCTTTTGCCTTCATTTTCAGCTTATGTACGTCCATTCTTAGACAAGTAAAGCGCTATTCATTCTAGGCTATTCATTCTTGTTCTCGCGCTCAATCAGAACCGAAACTCTATTCGTAACAATGTGGTTCGTTAGGGGCTTTATTGTCCTACTCGGGTAAGAAGTTCAAGCATGTTTATTTCAATACTGACCGAAGATGTAGGCAACTTGTTTCCGATCGCCTTCCGTAAGAACAGGGGGCTTTCATACTGTCACAAAACCTGTTGTTCCTGCTCATTAACTGCAAGGTAGCTACGCGCCAGTATTGCCTTATTGCTATCGATGATGTGAATAGTAGAATGTGGTCATATAAATATATCGTCCAGCTGTAGCACTCTTTCAGCACCTAGCTGCCATGCCACCCGAAGGTTGCACGAGGGCCGGGATACTGCCAAGTTGCTCAACCCTAGACAGGGGAAGTCGAGAGGCAGAGGTCGGGTTCGAACCACGGACGTTCCGGTCAGTAAATTCGCGCTCTAACCACTTGGGCCATCTCGACCACAGAATGTGGTGAGCGATTTGATTATCACATCTCAACAAACTGAAACATAAGCGCGATACTTGTGCTGATTGGGGTGGTTTCGAAAAACACAAATACGGGTTCGTCAACGTTTCGAAGTGGTTGGAAGTTCGAGGTCAGGTCGAGAAATGCACCGAAAAAAGCCTAATAAGAGATATTTCACATCCATCCACTGAAGGTAGGACGATTTTGTGCACTTGAACTACCACAGAACTCATTTTTAAAAAGCGGTTTCAAAGACTTGTTATAAGCCAGTGATCCCCAAGAGGTGAGCAGAATCCTATCAGAAGCAAGCAAATTCACAAATGGACTTTCTTATGAGCTTGAAGTTCACTATGGTGGGTGCGACCACTCGAATATAGAGAACAACAATCAACCAGATTCATATAGATCCGGAAAGATTCAGTGGTCGACGAGAAGGAATGTTGAGATTCGGTGTTCAAAAACACGCATTTTTAATCTCACCCGAACCCACTCATTCTGCATATTGATGTCACAGTCTCGTGCGTAGCTAACCATTACAGCGAGAAACACCAAAACAGGATAATACGGCAACCACGTTTGATTGTGCTCCCCTACAGATAAAATAACATAAGGAGAGAATTGTCAAGATTGTGCAGCACCTAGCAAATATCGCCCGGCAATTCACGACGAGACGCTGCTCCAAACCCAGATTTGCTTTTAGTCCATTTAGATATCAAGCTAAAAAAAGTTTATCATTAACGCTGGAATCTACCTAACGGTCTTGCATCGTCATGCCCCTCTGGTGATGATGCCACAACGGATCACGACAGACGTACCTAATAGTGTTCAAAATACGAGCATAGTACGGAGATGTAAGAAGCATGGGGCAAAGGGATGATAATGAAAAGGTGTTATGATTTTGAAAACTGGACGTGACTCACCTTTTTCTTGTTTGATTTCGTACCACGACCCTGTTCAGTGCCAGAATAACCGTTGGACGTGTGCGAACTGAGTGTAGTAGACATGTCTGTAGACGAAGCGTCCAGACTAGACTGATGGGGTTTGGTGGGACTTGTACTATGGTTGTAGAGCGAACAGAACAGGGCCGGTGACGGTTCTGTTTTAGGTGCAGTTGGCAACGTTGGCTGCCCGACCGAGAAGCCACACTTCAAGGATGCGGGACTGAAGGAGTTGACACGACGGCCGTGTCCAAATGCATTGGAATTTTTACGACTGTCAGTATTATGGGTAGAATAACAAGTCAGTCGTGATGGAGATGGAATTGTGGATGTGGAAGAAACTGAAGAAGATGAGGACAAACTGGATGAAGAGGGGGAGGGCGTCCGGGAATGTGATAGCAGGGACGAGGAAGACGAAGAACTTTTTGAATCACAATCGCTGAGTGAGGATAATGGAGAAGGGGAGCGCATCACCCGGGATGAACGCATGGTGGAGGTGATAGTCTTCGAAACTTGATCTGGGTTATTCGAATCACTGGCAACAGACGTAATCTGAGAAATGCCGTTAACCGTTCGTTGGGCACCGTTCTGAAGTACACCACTTCCAGTTATGCGAGACATTTTTAATTTTTGACCTTCCAACCGCTTGGGTGGTCGACCAGTTTTCCGAGGCTGCAACTTTTGAGAGGATGCAGAGGAGAAAGAATGCAAGGAATCCACGGATTCCGGATCGTCTAGGGACAAAAACGCCGGAATGGTGGCACACCCAGATGACGGGCAGGACAGTGCGGAAGAAGAAGAGGAGGTGCTAGGCTCTGGTTTCGATCGTGTGGTATCGATTGTCTTGGGGCCGCGCGGTAAACTTTTGCGCGACGGTTTTGAAACAGAAACAGTTTGATCATCCAGTTTCGGTGGAGGAAGGGGTTTAATCCGAATTAACGGCTTCGAGTTAGTTACTGAGCAACTTGAAGCACCGGAATGTGTAGAACGATCGCTTCCGGTTTTCACCTCTTGTAAGCAAACCGTCGACCGTCGATTGGATCCTGTAGGCGAATTAACTTTGCCAACTCCGTTCAAAGAAGCAGGACACATTTTCTGACTAGACGATCTCTTGGTGATTCGGAAATCTGATATATTGCCATCGTTGCTTTCGTTTTCGCTGCTCAGCGAAGATAATCCAGTATTATCTGGGGAAAACAGAGAATCAACGACTAAAGAATTTGCAGCAGAAGTGAGGAATCAGACATGTATTCCATAATCAGTAGATAGAGTCTATAGAAGGCAAATTGTTTCACTCAATAACTTCCTTGACTGCAACCTACTCGCCTGCAGTGATGTGATAAAAATGTTTGCCAAGGAGTAATGCAAAGTAGTTGTCATAGTAGATGGAATTCCCCTGCAGTTCCTCATGCATATGGAAACTTGACTCTGTTCGGAAATGACGGAAGTATTTTTTGCGCATCGACAACTAGTCAGTTTGAAAGTACTACTGTAATCACGCCCCCCACAAGGATCCAACTACTGGGTCATGGGGTCTTAAAATTGTTACTGTGACTAGTCACATGATCGATGTAGTGATCGGCAGCTTCTAAATAACCCTTGTATACAGAACAGCGTGCGGGAGGTTACGAAAAAGAAATTATAACTATCTTCAAAACAGTAAGATTGAACACACTTCAAGAGCAAAATAGAGAAGAAAGTGAGTCCTATGTGCACTAGATGAGATAGTCTACTGCGCAATAGCTCTGTCCAGATAACCCTCATAGAACTGACAGCGTTGTCGCATGAAGCCCAGCTCTAAAAACTTGTTTTAAGGCCGCATTTATCCGGCGGAGACACCTGCTGATCAGATGGTCTCCTCAGAGGCGGATGATTGGTGCGATAACTTCTCTTCAAACGACCCATAACCACGTATTACGAAATAAACCGTTGCTTTTCAGAACTTGCAGACCTATCTTGAGACAAATAACGAAAGCGATCCTAAACTCCGGTGTTGCCTTATTACTTCCCCTGTCTGGGCTTAGGCAATCTGTCAGTATCCCAGCTCTCGTGCTTCCTTCTGGTGGCGTGCCAGTTAAGCACTGAAAGAGTGCTACAGCTTATTACTTCGATGCACTTGTAGATCCTGTGACCATAGTAGAATGTGTTTACTCCTATTTTACAAAATGCTCTTGGACAGCTAATTTTTCAGGCTATAAATAATACCAGTAATAACAATACAATGGTAGACCCAAGGTTCCCAATGGATAATATAATCTCCATAATGAACTGCATGCTGCGCATCGCGATCGTGAGACATCTGTTTGTTGGTAGTGTTGTGGTGCTCAGTTGTTGTCATGTTTATCCAGTTTGGCAATTGGATTGCAAACGTTTCGTCACCAACCTAGGAGACTTCGCCGACAGTGCGTACTGACAACGTCTCCCCGATTAGTATCAAAATGTCTTTAGCTCGATTGCCTAGCTGGGCAGCGACTACAGCAATCAGTAATTTTGCTGATTAGCAATCAATTTGGGTGGTTGCAGGAAGCTGCTAATAGATGTGGTACTTTGAAAGCTCCAAAGAGTAACAAGGACAGTACCCTGGTATCAAAGTACAGATAACTTGAAATTAGTTTGAGAGCGAATTCCTACAGCTGAGAGTGGTCTCTTTTATAATGAGACAAATCGACATTGTTTAGCTACCCCCAGCCAAAGATGATATGTATATTCTGAGATATAGTCTATGCAATTACAATGCACTCAAGAACCCGGGGCTTTGTGTCCGATGTACGCTCAAGCAATCCTAGTGGGTATGTGAACTGATGGATTCAAAAGTGATAAACGGAAACATGGTAAACTGACTATGTTAATCAGACGGCAGCTCGCGCATCAATTATATAGAGCAACAGACGAGTTTGAACCCTACATTCTGTATCACGGCTCTATCCGACTTAAAGCGGCAGGATTGCTGGACGATAGTTGGGGTAGGAGCGAAATTTAACTGAACCAGCAAACTTGTGCACATCGTAGCTTGCGGCTGGTAGCTCGAGGTAGTACAGAAGTTGAAGTGCAATCTCTGTATAGAACTATCAACGGTTCGGATTAATCCTGACTTCCGAATCAGTTATATTTAGGTCTGTAGTACCAAGAACCGATAGTTAACCATGACCATTCGCTTGCGAACGTATGGTGACCTATCGAGGATTGTCATTGCGCGATTGAGTGGGTGGTCTGCCTTTCCCTGTTTGCTTCTAGACATCGTCCAACATCCCCTAATAAGAGTGACTAAAAGGAGCGCCCACTTTTGGTTGCTGAGCTTGGCAACTAGCTTGCAATGTAGCAGCCCAACACAGAGCTCCTCCCTCAGGTTAAAAATCATCAAACGGATACCACATATCAGCAAATTTTCCCTCCAGACAACCGTGATCTTGAAAAGCCTACCAGTTAAAAGCACTACCAGTTAGATCTTGTGATGAGCGAAACAATAAGGTCGACTTACCATTTGTGTATTCTTCGTTTAGATCGACAGAAGTCAGGCTGGGGCGGTTCAACGTTTTCGCTACTTTGTTACTACGCTTGGTGCTTGGTCTCTTAACGGATGAAGACACTACGGATGACTTCCGACGTTTGTAGCTGCTGCTGGCAGTTAGGGAAGAGAAAGCCGAAACGGAACTCTCAGTGTCCGTGGTTCCGAATGCTGAGCTGTATTTAGGCCCAGCTTTGCGTTTCCGACACTCACGCGTACGTTTAACTACAGCCGTTGAATCGGTGGGCGAAATAACAGAACGCTCCATAGCCCTGAAATCCTTGCCGTTATAAACATTGGCCAAATTGGTGGGCGTATCCAGTTCTGACGTCGGCGGAAGGCTCCTGTCGTAGGCGCTTTGATTGGCTTTATACTCCTCCGCTTCATCCAAAGCCTTTTTTAGAGACGGCGTCATCCGTAGTCCTAGTTCTGGGGCGGTGAAGGTCATGTTGAAAGCACGGCTCCGATGCACAAATTCCCGTTCATGACGTCCTCCGAAGCAAATTACCTCATATCCCTCAGCATTTTCATACAGCATTTTGCAAGGTCGGAATGACCAACCGTTGTGCTGAAACCATAATAACCGGTGTGGCTTGCGACATGCAGCTGTGAATCGCGAAGGGATAGAGGGAGACGACGATCGCAAATAACAATCGACGCAGTAAGCAGACTCGCGCATAGCACGTTTCATCTGTGAACGAATTTGTCTTGCCATGTTACTAATAACATGTTTGCTGCCATAAAACACAGCAGCGTTATGAACCAGATTATCCAAATCCACTAAAAAGCCTGTACGGTTGAAGTAGCCACTTTTCGATTGAGGCTCCGCTCGTAATCGATCACTAATCATGCGGGTATTGATTTGGCGATAGACAAGATATTCATTGCGCACAGGTTCGTACAAGTAACCGACTTGTTGCATTGTTTTCCAGCTCACACGATGACGTATCACCGTCAAAGCGGTGGCGAATATTTTCTGTAAATCTTGAATCGATGTTGTTTCATCGGAATTTCGTGCACGTGAAACGCGCTTACAAACGGGACAAGGGTGATCCGGTGGGAATTCCGAATCAGGCTCTGCGCTGGTGCCTAAAGTAGGATCTTCTAGCGGTAGGCGGCATGACCAATGAGTTTCCGACGCGGCCGATAAGCAGTCTGTGTGAAAAACCCGGAAGCAGGTGGGGCAGGAAACGACGAATCCAGGACCGTGACACTCGAAACAATACCTTGAAATAAAAAAAAGAAGATAATCAGAGCACGTTCATCTCAAAAGGTATCCCAGTGTAGGCAGAGTTTACGGAGACATACAAACCCCGAGTTCATGTGAAGCCGCGAATAAAGATTGATTTAATCCGCTAGATCGGTCGTTCCCACTGAGGGGCGTCTCCCCGGGGAAACATTTTTGCTTTGGGGAATAGGATGGCATAAAAATGTCAGTTTGTTTTCATAACGGTAATGCATATGAACATGAGTCGCACCGAAGCATTCTCTCACATTTGCACTGAAGAAACGAAGCCTGTTCATTCGTGGAACAGTAAAAGTATCAAACAATATTTTTGATTATGTATGCGAGTACTCAGTCCACGAAAAAGTTAGCTCGGGTCGATTGATAAGTTTCAGTCACCAGCATCTCCAAGGCATGAGATCATTATACGATCAGTCTGCTAAAATCGACCCATGGAAGTGATACCATTTAAGATCAACTTATCAAGACGGTACGGTTATCTGAGTAGTATTGCAAAACTGACGATAGTGGTCACCAGATTTTTGTAACTCATATGGAGATTTGACATCTGTTACGGGAAAATGAAACATAAAGTATAAAGTATAGACATACTGCACTACTCATAAGACTGCTGAAAATTCTTCGACAGCCCACGGTCGGTTTCGCCCTTCTTGGGGCTCATCAGGTAGGCGCAGTCCCCGAGTATCCGTAAACCACATGTTCTACTTGAGACCAAATTGCACGAAATTAGCGAAATACACTCATAAATGATAGATTCAGCTGGGTTCTAGGTGAGTCTCTCGAAAAAAAAACGATCTTGAGAATATAATGAGACTATACTGCATAGAACAAAAAGACGGGCTTTTTGAGACGAAACAACAAAATGAGGAACGGGTATTACGCTGGTAAGTCGAGGCTACACAAATAAAGGGAAACGTGTAGGTTTCTTATGAGTCGATAAGAAGTGTTGAATGAACCATTTAGCCCTATTTGAACAAGTTGCCCTTTTCGATAACTTCCAGAATATGTAGAAAACAAAGTCATGCAATACTTGATGGCACTGAACAACTAATAAAGCCGAAAATTTCCAAAATAAGTATGCACGCGCTGAAGGTCGACCAATACTTTGAAGAATATCAAGATAAATTCCCGAATCAGTAAAGCGACTTGAAGGTAACAAATATAACTAATGAGAAATCTACCAATGAAACCTGTTTCTCATTTGACTGTTATCGAAGTGCGGATTAGAATAAATGACTGTTCAAGAAATTCTGAAACTACCTGCGGTTGAGCACAGGTTGTCCGATAGGTATAAAGCGCTAATTGACCGCTAGGTCATGACAGATGGACAATCGACCGATGCATACATTATGCGAGGCCTTGGGCGAACCCACGCAAACCGCTCCAACGTGAACATTATCATCGGTCCAAAATATGCTGATAGTAGTGGCAACATGAGCAATTTGTGTGCCAGACTGGATTCCTACCTTGGTACTTCTGACGTTACAGAAGCACGATGGAGTGAAACCAGGTAAGTGAGCGAGAGGTGCTGCCTTCGGAAATAGATTCAAAGAGTGCGAGGTGGTGTGCAACAGATTGCTCCGAGGAACCATATCGACCAGCAAAGAGCATAGCTTCTCCGGTTGACCTGGTCATGTTTTACATGCGAACGTCCGTTGGATGAAAGTTTTTTCGCCAATACAGAACTTGCCCGTGGGACGATTGTTGTACTCACAGTTACTTTATGATGTCTCCTTACACGGAAAATTGTGATACTGAACATTCAAAAGCTTGAGTTAGTTGCTAGTGCAAGTGTTGGCTTCCAGTACAGCTTAAACCGTATGTAGCCAGTTCCTTTCAGAGGTTTCTGACCAATAGCATCTCGTTCGGTGTCATTGTGTGTGACGAAAAAGGCAGTCAACATACGACCAACCGAAGTCGTTCTCTCGAGTGTCCAATCCCCCGTAAAGGTAGGATGTTTTTTTAGGTTGTGAAAAGTCCTGGGACGTTCTCATCAATGTAACTGGGTGAATAAAGCATTAAATGACAGTGATTGACATTAATCTAGCGATTCCAGTTACCACTCCTCTTCGGCCTCATAGCAATCATTGTTTTTTGAACTTATTACCGCCACTCCTATAAAATGATCAAACAGCTCTTCTAGTAGCAGCGAAAGCCACCGAATTCAGAAAATCTTGGTACCCCTACCCCTCTGCTAGGACTAGACATGCCAGTCCTTCTTCAGTATTCTCACGCAACAGAATTATCGAACCACGCACGTTTTCTCAAGACATTTCTGTACATGGATAGACGAATTGTAAGTTTTATCAGTGATCCAGCCAGATCCAGCCACCATAACCCTTATCGATGGTGACTTATCATACTGGTGTTTGACGCCCACACAACGCGCGCCACCAGTTGGTTTGTCACATTTTTTCGTAGGTCTGTCAGATGAATACACTCAAGATAAACCTAGCATACAATGACACATAAACCTTAGATATGTAGTCCGGCAAGAAAACTGTAGTAAACGCGTCGCTGGGACCGGTCACGAAACATGTCTCATGTGGTTTGCAACCAGGTGGTGGGAAAATCCCGTGCGGGCCTACCGAGAGAGGCGAAGATCTCACAGTCGTTTGTTTGAGAATAGCCGCTCTCATTTCAAGTAGACATATCATGGCATGTCCCCCACGAGTTTTTCGCCAACAGCCTCTTGGAAAAGAGAAAACGCTTTCTTCGGTGGAAGGCCCCAATCACTCCGGCAAGCTTAATCCACTGCTCCAACAAGTTGTTACTGGGTCGCACTTGGGCCCGTAGAGCAAAAAGCAAAACTGAAAAAACGTGAGACCCCACGCAGTTGGCGGACGAAAACAACCCAAGACTCGATGACACTTTTGACGCCCCTGTTCTTTGCATCTTCCCTAATGCCTTGTATTCTACATTTGAAGGCGGTAAGACAAGAGGAACATCCCTGAACAGAAGCTGTATGCTAACGCGTATGTTGGCCGTACACAAATTATCACGTTAGTCCACAATTATGTCACAAGCATGGCACGAGCAGTAGCGGTTCGGTATATTCTTACGGCACAACCCTCCTTTCCATAAGGAACTCGCATTTAGGTAAAAAAGAAAGTGGACGGCCAAAAGAATATCTATTCAAAGTAAAAGCCCTCAGAGGGATCAAGCCATCATTCTTTGCGAACCTTAGCCAACACAAACCCATCGCACAACAACAGATCAGCTGTGATTAGTCAGCCAAGCTAGGTAACAGTATGCTCACTATTGGGATCAGTTTCACGCCATATCTCGTGACGTTTCCAACCACATGAAAGAAGAACCATGTGATGCATTTACATGTTGTGGCCTATGCCCCCGGGAGACTCTCAGATAGCAAGGACTTCTTGTAGAAAACAGAGTTCTCTTTGAAAGACAACGATTGGGTATGTTGCTCTGGCGGTTTTGGTTCGTTACCTGTACTTACTTGCGCACTGTTCCATTGCAGCCAGCTAACCCATGTTATGATAGCAAGACACCGACGATTGAGTTAGAAAGGCGTTTGAGGGTCTCTGATGGGAGAGAGGCAAATCTTGAAACACAACGTAAGACTACCAGAGAGCACCACCATGACAGCGAAAATTTCACACTTCCAGTAGACCGCTTATCAGATGGTTTGATTTGTTACCAAATGCTGGTAGAAAACTGAACACTTTCATACAATTCGCGGAGCGACCGGTTTTCCGAAACACTTAACAAGTGGATAAACTTGCTGAAGGTTTCCAACGATCAGCTGCTACCTAGGATGTGAGCATCTCCAATTCATTCTATCGGCATTAATTTGCACTTTGAAGGCGTGAAATCCATCCTTTAGAGACTTAATAGTATTTGCAAAAGACTCCATATCGTTTGTGTTTGAGACTTCAGAACCGAACTGAATATCATCCAATCAGTATTAGTTTGGATACCACCCTGGAAAGGCCCTCCCCTATCACACATCCAATACCTAGTTTGTCACAGCGCTAAAATGTGGTCGCTACAGTCACAACTGTAACAGACGCCTATCTGTCCCATTCTGTTGGAGTTTTTTCTGACTGATGTAAGTCGACGTGTAAAGAAACTTCTTAACTACACGGGTGCGAAAGAAAATGAACTGATACCTGGTTGGTCATCACAAAGGTGTGTTTGACGTTGCAGTCAAAATCATGGCCTCGTTGGAATAACTGCCCTACGTAAGATTACATAAATATGGCTTCTCTTCAGGAACAGGTCATGTGGACCAAGTACTCAAGTAATGCTGTATTTTGGAGCAGCGCAACACAAGCAAGAAAACACTACTTGCACTAAGGAATTCCGCGTAGTATTTTATTCGGTCGATTGAGACAGCCCGAGGGGGTGCCAGGAGAGCTGATGAATTTGGCCCATCTAAATACAAACCCGAATTTGTGTCTACCGAGAAGAGACAACTTTTAATTTAGATCCATAAATCCGACTAAGATACCACTTTTCGAACTCGCGTTAGATCACAAAATAATAAATAAAAATAGTTCAGCTATAGTCTTTCCGATGCACAGCTTTCGTGCAACTCGAAGCCAGCAAGAGGGCTGGGATACTGTCAGGCTGCTCAAGCCCAGATAGGAGCAGTCGGAAAGCCTGGATTGAGTGCAAATCATGTATCTCAGTATTTTCGTTCCTTAGCCGTTGACCTCACAATGAAAATACAGTGCAAAGAGACCTATTACGAGCTTTGCGGGTCTTAATCAAATCGGGGATTTTGTCTCGGGCGAAAATCTCTATTTTATTCTCATCATTCCTTTACTAGAGGTGCCAGAAATTCTGCTACACAATATTTCTCACCCGCCTACTTTCTTGGTGGTTAGAGACAGCTCCCGGTCAATGACTAGTAGATACGTGAAATGGTCAGGATTCTAGAATTTGGAGTTATCCCGCTCTAAAATCCTCAGCGTCTCAGGATTGGGTTCCCTAAACTGTTTTCGAAGGCTTAGC